AAATTTGTTAAACAGAAGATAATTCACTACTGAAGATATAACGAGATTAAGTAAAGTGCGCATCCCCTTACGTCATCTTAGAAATGGCTTAAGCGGTATGAATTTTCAAAAACTTAATTTTTCTTTTATTCAATGATGTCGGAGGCCAAAAGATTAATTTGATACAATGTAAGAATTTATTAATTTGGAAAACAGGAACCGTCCATGAATAGGCTCATCAAACCGAGCCTGCAAACATTTTTAATATTGCCGTTTTGAACTTTTTAGGGATTCCTATTTTCTCTATTTCTATGCAATAAAATGAATATTAAGACATTTTTGACATATTAAAAAGAAACTATTCTTCATGTGTCATATATAAAACAAGTCTATTGAATGCATACCATTTACACAGTTAGGTCCTTCAAAGCTAGGGAGGCATAAGTGCAATTGTATTCATTGAAAAGATCTTTCAAATTCGCGGCCATTAATGGCATGGATTTGCTTGAAGCATTCATTAATTTTTTTTCATACATATGACAATGTTATATAGATGTTACTTATTTTTGACAAAAATTAAAAGAAGCTTTTATTTCATTAAACAAATATTGCAAAACAAGAATAAAGTCGATAAAACAAAATCAAAATAGCGATTAAGATTCTAAGAATTAAGTGAGACACCTTTGCACAAGAAAAACGAAATCCTACCTTTTTCACAGTTTGTACCCTCATAGCCATCTTTACAGTAACATAATCCGGCCGTTCACTTTATCCTCACACGGTTCCTTTTTTCTCACATGGATTTGTTTGGCATTCGTTTATATCTGTTAAACGAATGTTGCGGACTTTTCAAATTATGTTATTTAATTTGCAAAGTTCTTTTTTCAATAGAAAAATCAAGGTAGAACATAAGTAAACGAATTTCATATTCACGCATAATTCTAATCAAAATTTCCGGTATTAAGATTTTACACAGTCATCATATACCATTATTCTCCCATTTTTTTTAATATGCAAATATCTTATTTCTGACCAAGTCTTACACATAAATAACAACTGGAATATGTATAAATAGGCATTTTTCGTTTCAGAAAAGCATATGACTCGTAATTCATTATAAGGCCGGGAAATGCCGTAAAAGTTCACCCATTTTGGTACCAAATCAGGTCTATTTTACGAACAAAATATTCTTCAAACAAAGCTTTGGTATTAAACGAACCTGTCAGTCTGTGTAATGTGGATATACAAAATATTATGAAATCAAACTGCATAAACTATACTAGTATCTTACTCTTAGGTAAATATTTCATCTTTAAAAATAAATACCAGAAAACTGTACAAAACTTCGATGAATGTTTGAATTACATTAAATATAAACTTAGTTTAAAGGACTCATTGCTGAAATGAAAAAAACATGATTGATGTCTATAACAGCATACAACAGTGAAGCATATTCACATCATGATACACACGTTACTGACTGGGGTCTATTTAACCTTTTCCCTGATATAGGCTTTCGACCCCCCTTTTTTGAGGCCTCAAACAGTGAAAAATGCCCTATTTAGGCCCCAAACACTGCTTTTCGTGGTAACAGGAAATTTACGATTGAGCATGCTGTTACAGAGGCTAAGGTCTGGTCAACATTTGTGCCAAGATTCATCAGTATTGAAGTACTTTTCATAGTTTCATAGCAGTTTGAACTTGTTACAGAAGGTTTTTCAATGAAAACGTCCATTTTTCGCAATATGATCATGGGGCAAAAGGTTAATATTACTCTTAACATTCTACTTAGAAACAATTCTTTTTTGATTAACGGAAACATATCTATTTATACTTTTAAAACATATATCATGCTCAAGATTACCTTTCCACTTTGACAATCTTAATAAGTATAATGATAAATCAGTTAAACATTACATTTTCTCTACAAAACGTTTTTCTGATGTAATCATTGTTTATTCTTACAATTAAAATAATCTGAAATATGTTTGTAAATTTGTAAAATGTATACATAGTATTTATTTATACGAACTGGATAATTAAAAAAATTTAAAAGAAGATGCCTGCATGGAATCAAATTCTTTGAACGAGTTTGGAAGCCCTTTACCCAAGGAACAAGTCTGCCAAGTTCGGTTGACTTTGGACTTACCGTTTTATTTTTTAAAAAAGATTTTTTTGAAAAGTCACATGCAGCTAAAATATGAGGGATATGAATTTATCAAGCACGTGACTACAATATTTTTTATATTTACATACTTGAATGCAGTAACTGAATAAATAAATGTGCCTACGGAATATAGTTAGTGAAACTGATTACTGAAATTTACTTTAACATTCAAGTCATTCATCATTGCAGAATTTAGGTAAAATCGTACAGAATCGTAAAGTAAGCTTAACAATTTTACTGTTATTTTTTGTTGAAGCGGATGTCTGACAATGATCCTTTGGGGGAATATGATTTTTTAAAAAAGTGAGCAGAATCTTTAATTTCCTTGCACTGGTAGAAGGGATCATCAATAATCTTTTTTTAGAAAAAAAAGGATATTCTTTGAGAATGCTACAATGGGTTCTAAGACATTTGTGTAAGATATGGGGCGGCAACCATGATAATAAAATGAAGGTACAAAATGTTATTTTATATACAGACATTGACTGAAAGGCAACTCATATTGTGTGTCTTTTAATTTGGGGTGCTACTGCTTGTGACATAAAGTACGTTGGTTAGAAAAGGCATTCATCTGAAAAAAAATTCAATTTTGCTGTGTTCGGCTTTCTCTTTAGGGATTCTGTTTTGTTTTTCAATTTCATCAACAATTCTATTAATGATTTCCGATTTCGTCTGTACACTTATACATCCGACATCTGACTCTTGCAAAAACAAATCACTTTAAAAAAAATGAAAAATAACATAGAGTTATGCGATTACAATTACGGACAAATTTGATATACATTTACAAACTAATAGCCTTGCTGTTAAAACTGATATAAAACGACAGGATAATGTAATTTCCTTTATATAAACAAAATATTAAAGCGAAAATGATGAGCAAAATGAAAAATTCTGTCATTCTATAACTTTTTGTCTTTTCTATTGACATTTAGGAAACTATTGTTCTTATTTGATAACTTAATAACTAAGACATTAAAAACGTTTTATCATGCGTTTAGTTTCCTTTAAAAATTGCCATTAATTCTACATGTATACATGTACTTTGTAATTGTATAAACATACGCTTGGTGTTTTGTTGATGTGCTCTGAAATATATACATATAATCGCATTTGATATAGTGTAAATGTTTATTCCTCACCATTATCACACACTTTGCCGTCATATCCGGGCACACATGTGCATTCATATCCATTGACAAGATCTGTACATGTTCCACCATTCCTGCAAGGGTTGCTTGAACATTCATTGATATCTGTTAATAAAATTCAAATGCGTATCAAATGCAATCAGACACTTATTTATTCCTAATCGCGCTGAACTTGTGTCATGGATTTTCGCTGCTTTGAGCTCGGAATAGTCCATTAAAAGTTTCTGGGATTTTAATAGTAAACTACAAAAGAAACAATAAACAAACAAAACAATTAGCTACCGACAGTATGGAGTCTAGTCCGACTTGACTGCAGAATGGCCTGGTTCTCTACTGGTTGAACAGGCTTATTATGTTCACGTCAAGCATGGTAAGAGTTAAAGTTGTGATTTTCATAGTTAGAATCTAAGATTCTAAGTTCTAAGGAGTCTATTGTTATAAAGAAGACAATTCACTACTGAAGATATAATGAGATAGTGGTAAAGTGCAGCATCCCTTACGTCATATAGCAATGATCTAAGCGGTATGAAATTTTCAAAACTTTATTTGCTTAATTCAATGATGTCTAAGGCCAAAAGATATATTGATATAATGTAAGACTTTAATTACATTCGGATACATAGTACCGTCCATGAGCAGGCTTAATCAAACCGAACCTGCAGCATTTTCAATTTGCCGTTTTCAACTCTTTTAGGGATTCCTATCTTTTCTATTCTATGCATAAATTATATATATATAACGTTAGGTTTGATATTTTGATATATGAAAAAGAAATTATTGTTCATGTCTCATATATAAAACAAGTGTATGAATGTTTACCATTTCTACAGTTAGGTCCTTCAAAGCCAGGAGCACACGTGCAATCGTATTCATTGACAAGATCTTTACAAATTCCGCCATTAATGCATGGATTGCTTGAGCATTCATTGATTTCTGTTTTATACATATGACAATGTTATAAATGTTATTTATTTAAAGAAAAAATAAAAGTTGCTTTTATTTCATAAGACAAATATTGAAAAAAATGAATAACGTCAATAACAATATCAACATAGCCGATTAAGGTAAGACACCTTCGCACAAGAAAAACGAAATCTTACCTATTTCACAGTTTGTACCCTCATAGCCATCTTTACAGTAACATATCCGGCCGTTAACTTTATCCACACACGTTCCTTTATTCTCACATGGATTTGTTTCGCATTCGTTTATATCTGTAAAACAAATTTTGCGGACTTGTCAAAATATTTATTTATTGACTTTCTCCTTTTCAACATTCAATTTTAAAGGAACTTGATATTTCTAAGACAAAATTGCCTCATAGAAATATAAGGTATCCTTATATTAACAAGTGTAATCCTAAATTGTGCGATGTAGTAACTTTTTATCGCACAGGTCTAAAATAACCTCTAATGCCAAAGGGAGAACATTTACTAAACATGTAATTTTAAATACAGATATTGACTGAAAGGCAACTCATATTGTTTGTCTTTTAACTTGGAGCGCTACTGCTTGTGACATAAAGTACGTGTTCATCTAAAATTCAAATATTTTCAATTTTGCTGTTTCCTGCTTTCTTTAGGGATTCTGTTTTTATATTTTCGATTTCATCCACATTTCTATTTCGTCTGTACACTTATATATTCGACATCTGACTCTTGCAAAATCAAACCACTTTGAAATAGAATTGTGATGTGAAAAAATAAGATAGAGTTATGCGATTACAATTTACGGATAAAACTGATATACCTTTACAAATTAATAGCCTTGCTGTTAAAACTGATATATAACGACAGGATCGTGAAATTTCTTTTATATCAATAAAATATAAAAGCTACGGGATGACCAAAAATGAAAATTACATCTTTTTATAACTTTTTGTCTTTTCCATCGACATTTAAAAAAATATTGTTCTTATTTGATAACTGAAAAATTCAGACATTAAAAACGTTTAATCATGCGTTTAGTTTGCTTTGTGAATTGCTAAATGTACTTTGTAATTGTATAAAGTACGCTTGGTATTTTGTTGACGTGTTCTTAAGTATATACATATAATCGCATTGGATATAGTGTAAATGTTTATTCCTCACCATTATCACACACTTTGCTGTTGTATCCGGGCATGCATGTGCATTCATATCCATTGACAAGATCTGTACATGAACCACCATTCTTGCATGGGTTGCTTGAACATTCATTGATATCTGCAAATAACATACAAATGTGTATCAAATGCAATTAGATACTTATTTATTCCTGATCGCGCTGAACTTGTGTCATGGATTTTCGCTGCTTTTAACTTGAAATAACCCATTCAAATTTTCAGGGATTGCAATAGCAAAAAAAAACCAAAATAAAACAACAACAACAACACCAACAACAAAAAACAACAACAAACAACAAACAAACAAAACAATTAGCTACCGTCAGTATTGAGTCTAGTATAGCCTGGCTCTCTACTGGTTGAACAGGCTTATTATGTTCAGGTCAAGCAGGGTAAGGGTTAAAGTTGTGATTTCCATAGTTAGAATCTAAAGATGGGTCTGTTGTTATACAGAAGATCATTCTCTACTGAAGATATAACAAGAACATGGTAAAGGGCAGCATCCATTACGCCATCTAGCAATGACTTAAGCGGTATGAAATCTTCAAAACTTAATTTGCTTAATTCAATAATGTCGAAGGCCAAAAGATATATTGATATAATGTAAGACTTTTATTACATTCGGATACATGGTACCGTCCATGAACAGTGGCAATCAAACCGAACCTGCAGCATTTTCAATTTTGCTGTTTTCGACTTTTTAGAATTTCCTATTCTCTCTATTGTATGCATAACATAAATATATAAGACGTTAGGTTTGACAATTTGACATATGAAATTAAATGAATTATGAATTACCAACATAAATTTGTTGATGTATCATATATCAAACAAGTTTATACATGCTTACTATTTCTACAGTTAGGTCCTTCAAAGCCTGGAGCACACGTGCAATCGTATTCATTGACAAGATCTTTACAAATTCCGCCATTAATGCATGGATCGCTTGAGCATTCATTGATATCTGTTTTATACATATGACAATGTTATACATGTTACTTATTTTTTGAAAATAAGAAGAAAGTTTTATTTCAGAAAACAATAATGAAAAAAGGAAACGGAAATATCAAAATCAAAATAGCCGATTAAAATCGTAAGAATTAAGTGAGATACCTTCGCACAAGAAAAACGAAATCCTACCTATTTCACAGTTTGTACCCTCATAGCCATCTTTACAGTAACATATCCGGCCGTTTACTTTATCCTCACACGTTCCTTTATTCTCACATGGATTTGTTTGGCATTCGTTAATATCTGTTAAACAAAAGTTGCGGACTTGTCAAAAATATATATTTATTGGCAACACTTAAATGTTTCTTTAAGTCTTAAGTTAATTTCAATAGAATCAAATCATGGTAGAACATAAGTTAACAAATTTCATATTCACGCATAATTTAATCAAAATTTCCGGTTATTAAGATTTTACACAGTCATCGATATACCATTATTTCTTCATTTTTTTTAATATGCAAATATCTTATTTCGGGGTTAGTATTACACATAAATAACAACTGAACTATGTATTAATCGGCATTTCACGTTTCAAAACGATATGACTTGTAATTCATTATAAGGCCGGCTTAATGATAGATCCATATTAAATAGAATATAATGAGTAGTCTAAAGGTCGTCTAACATCGCGAAGTTAAAATACTGCTGGGTTTGATATAATTCAGCCTGTACAGTGAAGAAAGAAAAGGAAATTAAAATAATTAAAATGTGCAATCAAAAAGGAAAATATAAAATTTATTTCAATATCATTTGCAAATGTTACCAAACTTATATCAAATAAAACAGTTTTTCAACTTAAATAATTACGTGTTTTATGTACTGGCTTAAAGAATAAAACATCTTATAGCATAATAAACAAAACATGAGGAAAGACGAACCTGTCGAGCAATAAATACCAAAGTAACCAGCCATACATGTACACGTGAATCCGTTTACACGATCCTGACAGCTTCCACCATTTTTGCAGGGATTGGGTTTACATTCGTTTATATCTGTTTTGAAATAATAATGAATGTCTGTAATGGCATGTTATAGATGTATACTAAACATTATGATTTATTTTCACATATTCAGCGGATATGAAATTTTTGGTTTTCAAATAATTAACAAGGTTACATATGTACGTAAAAAGTAGTGAATACATGGTCGTTTATGCATAACTAGGGAATAGAATTCATGCAAAATTGGTATTGATCTGCCAGTACAACGTGTAATGCTACATCATAAATTCTCCTCATGTTATTAGCAATGTCATCTTCATTAATTTATCATTGTTAAAATTTGCATATTCCTGCAAATTCATATAAATGCAAATTGTTTGTTGTTCAATGTTTTGAGTGTTGAAGTGATAAATGGCCAGCTTTCTGAAACGTTTTAATCGGCAGTTGTCAAGTGATACATGTCATTTCAGCAGTTGAATCAAATTTTAATTATAAATATATTTTAAAACTAGTGCTTACAATTAGTTTTCTTCCTTTTGATATTATACAATTAAATTAAACCATGTCATGTATCACGTCTACGTGCAAGCGAGGGTTTGGAAGTTATTGGGAGACAAGATATTTACTTATACTTTTTCCAAAATGGGGCTAGAATTTATTATCTTTTAAAGATTTGTATACCGTTTAATGTAGGTCTGGACCAACCACTCGTGTGAAGAATTACAAATCATTAGCACAAGATTTTTTTTTATTGTACAATTATGGACATTATGCACAAATGGACAGCGATTTAACGCAATTTCACTCTTTGAAAATTGTTTTATAATCATTTGCTTATTGTTTGCTTTTAAAGTACTAGCTGCTTTATGTAAGAATGCTTTTATATTTTTAGGCATTTGAACATCAGTTGAGCTCCTTTAAATTACAAATGTGTATTACTGTTTTGGTGTATACTTATGTGTTACAAATGTAACGTGAGTTCAATAAAATATATTCTTTTCTGTTTTGCATTGATATATGAAAATTGCGTTGAGGTTAAAGCAGCATGCCTCCAGATTTATGCTAATTTTCATGAAAATTTTGAAAATGTATTTAAAAGTAAAATAATGTGAAGTTAACAAAGAAAGTAATTTACACATTGCAAACGGCACTTACAATCTTCACATAAGTTACTAAAAAGAGGTCAAAATATGCATGAATACCTCTTACTGCGTTAGTAACGCAGTAGAATTTTAGTGATTGATCCTGCAAAATCAGGCATTAATCTCACAAAACATGTAAATAATTAGTTAAGTGATGACTCTTTTACTTTTCTTTAGATCTTAATATATTTTTCTAAAGATTGAATTTCTTGAAATATGTTGGCTCTTCTGGAGATCTGGAGGCGTGCAGCTTTAAGAGGCAGAATGCTCGCCTAAATTCGAGTCTCATAAGGAGTTAGTTGTTACCACAATAGATAATTCAATACTGAAGTAGATATTATAAAGCAAAGAAATATGTTTCTATGTTTAAATTTCTTATTGTTCTAAATATTACGAGTCCACCTTTAACAACCGTGTTCTTTTGGAGAAATGTTTTTCTCTTTCAACGATAACTAACAGCTGAGCAATACAGCCATATTTCATAGTTATTTGAGGCCTCATGTTTCTGAGGATCATCCTTAATCCAACTCTTTTTATATTTAACATACATCTGATTGGAATGCAGAACTAAAAGACAGAGTCAGTTTTAACAATTCACACTCATAGCCATCAGCAGGTCCGGAAAACATTGACATTCATAACCATTGAAAATAGCTGTATATGTGTCGGACAATTATTGCACAAGTTTGTTGAATTTCATTGATATATGAGACTTAAGTTCTACAACGAATTATCATTAATTTAAACTATACTTCTAAAAGTTATTGGTGTAAGGAAATGTTCTTACTATATCTCTAAAAAGTTAAAATTCGTGCGTGTTTTCAAAATTGTGAAGATCGTATAATAAAGTGAAAGTAACATGTAAATTGACACCTAGGTTAACTACAACACTTATTGGTGTTCATAAATATTTTATTTCATCTTACCATAAGCACAATCATAACCGTCGTAACCTTGCACACATGTACAATTATATCCATTGACAAGATCCGTACATGTAGCGCCATTCTTACATGGGCTGCTTGAACATTCATTGATGTCTGTAAATAAAATTTCCTTCCACGTTATTCATATCAAAACAATATCTTCATTAAAAATATATAAAAGGACTTGCCACACTTTTTAAGAATAACAAATGTTGTATCGTTTTATTGTGTATAGAAAGACGTAGTTCTATATAAATCAAATTTAATATCGTTTTGAAATTCATTATAGCTTCCTTCTTTAAAGTTTTATTAATTTCTTACTATCATCACAATTTATCCCATCATATCCAGCAACGCATGTACATTCGTATCTATTTACAAGATCTTTACAGGTACCACCATTCTTGCAAGGGGCAGATGAACACTCATTTATATCTATACATAAAATATATATTAAAATAAATATCTAGTAGAAAAGTTCATATTTCATTTAATATTAAATCGTTTTCTTGTTCAATGACCAATGCATTGAAAATTAAAATACGTTTTCGCAACTTATTTTAAACACCACATTTGTTTGAACAGGTTTTCCGTATAACTTAAATGAAAGACCATTATTGCAAATTAAAACGAAAAAAAATGATGCATTTCATTTATACCTGAGAATTACATCGATAATTGTTCACGAACGCTTTATAATTCATTAAAGATATGCTACTGATATTGATGTAAGGAAATTTTCTTACTACATCGTTTGAAAGTTAAAGTTCTTATGCATTTGCAAGGTTCTATGGATCATATAATTCAATAAACGCAACATTAAAAAAAATATAAAGGGGTGATAACAATAAGTCTGATTGGTGTTCATAAATACTCTTTTTTTTCTTACCGTTAGCACAATCATAGCCGTAGTATCCTTGCACACATGTACACTTATATCCATTGACAAGATCCGTACATGTAGCGCCATTCTTACATGGGTTGCTTGAACATTCATTGATATCTGTAAATAAAATTTCTTTTCTAATTCATATAATAACCTTATATTCTTTATAATCATAACATTTGACGAGATCTGTTCATAAAGCACCATTCTTGCATGGTTTGCTTGAGCATTCATCGATTACTGTAAATAACATTTCATTCCTTGTTAGTTATATCAAAACCCAATATTTTAAATATCTTCATCTAACATTATCAATAAAGACATATGCCAGAATAACAAAATTCGAACATATGTATAATTGTGTATACAAAGAACTGTTCTATTCTATTCAAATACATTTTAAAAGGCAAAATAGTTTCAAATAATCAATTCAAATTTCATTAGATTTCTGTTTTTGAGAATTAAATAATGTCTTACTATTATCACAGTTTAATCCATAATATCCAGCAACACATGTACATTCGTATCCATTTACAAGATCCTTACAGGTGCCACCATTCGAACAAGGGTAAGATGAACACTCATTTATGTCTATACATAAAATTATATATGTAAATAAATATCTAGCAGAAAGGTTCATATTTCATTTCATATTAAAACGTTTTTTTTGTTCAACGAGCAATGGATTAACAATTAAAATACGTTTTCGTCACCTAATTTTAAACATCATGTTTGTTTGAACAGCTTTTCCGTATAAATTAAATGAAGCCCCATTTTTGCAAATTAAAACGAAAAAAAATCAACAAGTGTCCACATACGCTTAATAATTCATTAAAGATATGTTAATGATAGATATTGATGTAAGGTAATTTTTTTCTTACTACATCGTTTAAAAGTTAAATTTCTTATATATTTGCAAGGTTCTATGGATCATATAATTCAATGAACGCAACATTAAAAAAATATAAAGGGGTAATAACAATAAGTTTGATTGGTGTCCATAAATACTCATATTTTTTGTCTTACCATTAGCACACTCATAGCCGTAGTATCCTTGCACACATGTACACTTATATCCATTGACAAGATCCGTACATGTAGCGCCATTCTTACATGGGTTGCTTGAGCATTCATTGATATCTGTAAATAAAATTTCCTTCCATTTATTCATATCAAAACCTAATATTCTATATATAATCATAACATTTGACAATATCTGTTCATAAAGCACCATTCTTGCATTGTTTGCTTGAGCATTCATCGATATCTGCTAATAACATTTCACTCCTTGTTATTTATATCAAAACCCAATATTTTAAATATCTTCATATAACATTATCAATAAAGACATATGCCGGAATAACAAAATTCGAACATATGTATAATTGTGTATACGAAGAACTGTTCTGATCTATTCAAATACATCTAAGAAGGCAAAATAGTTTCAAATAATCAATTAAGATTTCATTTGATTTCTGTTTTTGAGAATTAAATAATTTCTTACTATTATCACAGTTTAATCCATTATATCCAGCAACACATGTACATTCGTATCTATTTACAAGATCCTGACAGGTGCCACCATTCTTGCAAGGGTCAGATGTACATTCATTTATATCTTTTCAAAAAAAGGAAAAAATATATATTAAGTACAAAATTTCATAAGGTATTTCGTATCGTTCTGTTACTTTTCTCATTCAACGATCAATAGACTGAAAAGTTTAGAAACCATGTTCATTTGCCAAGATGTTTTTACTATAAACGAAGATTTATAGAGATACATGCAAGTCATTTCAAAATGTTTTGAGGCTCAAATGCCGTGTGGCATAAAAAGTTTCCACTTACTCCACTTCACCATTTCCATATTTTTGGTCCCCCGGGATCATTCATTGATTCCAGGACGTTTTAGAGTTAAAGATTGAATACCGCTTAAGTCGGTGTTAGGTGGTGTGAGAGATGTAGCACTTTTTAAATTATCTCTCATGAACAGACTAAATCGAACTGAGTGAGTAATTTTCAAAAATAATATTGTTGTTTCACTGCTTCAGAAGTATCACGCATTTTCCATTCTTAAACACATAATATAGAATATTTTTTAAAACAAGTACTGATGTAATTCATTCTCAACAATTTTACACTCATTTCCTTGGTATCGTATCCAGACAAACAGTTAAAGTCATGTCCATTGACAACCCCCATATAATTACGTAGCATCATTACTGCAAAATGTAAACAATTGTTGAACTTCATTGACATATGAGACTTCACAGCCATAATTGTTCACGTACAATGTATCATTCATGTAAGATATTGATGACAAGTAATTTTCTAAATATATTTCTCAAACATATAAATATCTGTGTGTTTGCAGACTTTTTAAAATCAACCCATGAGAATAATGCTACTTTTTCTTTCAGAGCATCATGATATTATTTCATGTTAGCAATTGTATATGGAATAAAGAAGTTCCAAAAATACTTGTATCGGGAGGAGTTCAAACGGACCACATTTCATTGTCGTACATCCAGAAAAGTATACCAGATAATGGAGATAATGGTCGATAAGTGAAATGGGCCTTATTTCTTCATTCATACAAGTTCTGTATTGAAGCTATCAAAGGATCTGACAACACTTTTTCAGATTATCAAGAAACAGATGAATAAAAATAGTTATTCTATTTAGAAACAGAAACACAAATGTCCGCCATTTTGTGTTATTTTTTGTTTTGACGTGACTTCTGAAAAGTGGCGTTATATCTGGTTCGCGCGTTGTGTATCTATATGAAATGAATTTCAAATGAAAAAAGAAGAATAAAGTGATTTCCAACGAAACTTCAATATTGTCTTAAAGCTTATTTTCAGCAAGTCTCTTTGTTGGTTAGCAACACACCAGTCAAGTGAAAGAACCAATAAAACAGTCTAAAATATGATAAAAAAGATCAACAAGGAAAGGCGGTGTTCAATGTACGCAACCCCCACACGAACCAGCAACAAGAAATAGTGGCAAGGAGTTTGTTTATAATAGTATACAATTTTCGGATTGTTCACTTTTCGGATAAATGTTTATGTGTAGTTTGTTTATAACAGTATACAATATTCGGATAGTCCACTTTTCGGATAAATATTAATGTGTATAAAACAGCAGATCAAGGTGTTTCACATGACAATGTTATACTTTTTACCATTCAAATAAATTATCTCATATCCATCTAAGACATAATTTGCAGGCTTTTGTCGTGTTGTTTAGACCTAAAAACTCATATTTTTTACATTTCTTTCTCTCGGATTTCAAAAATATTGTTACCGGATGTGACGTTCAATTATGATATCTTGTTGTTGTGATTAATGCTTCCGCGGGATAACTTTGTTTCCAGATTTTTATATATCTTCCCTATTCCCCATTGGGAGAAGTTGTAAAGGTAAACATATGTTAAGGTATAGACCTTAGTATTAATAAAAAGCAAGATGCCAATTCAGAACGTATCATCTGTGGAAATTTAAATGCACGAACAGCTGAAAGAAGCGACTGTTTGTATACTTGTAAATATTCTTTTGATATAGATGCCTATGCGACATTTTTGAAAAAGATAACGTTTTAGGTCCTGGAAGTTATTGTGAAAAGAAAGTTAATACATTTGGTATTGATTTATTAGAATTATGTATAACGTACTTGTTATGGATATCATATGAAAGGCATGCATATGTGTCGGATTTCCGATCAAAATATTCAGTCAAATTAAAAATAGGAGCCATGTTATGAAGGAGATGGTAGTCTCCCGATGAAAATTAAACACTATGGTATATCCTTTTCATAACGTAGAAAACACAATACTGGGCAGTGTTACCTGGTATATTGATCAAGAAATTGCTCACCAATTGCATATGCATTACAAGGTCAGAGGATAAGACAAAGAAAAGGTCAATCAGAGAGTAAGAATTTTCTGTAAATGTGTAGGTTCAAGGAAGACTTGATTGAAACAGAAGCGAATGCATATGTTGTTAATCTTTCTTTTAGCAGTTGATTGAGGTAGTATGGATTAAAGTCTCCAGTAATTACTATGTCTTTAATTCCGGTATCTATAGCAAGACTAATAGAGTTCCGAATTGTTTGCAAATGGTAAGCAGTTTGTGGCTCGATAAAACACACCAAGCAGCGTTAGGAAATAAAGAAATAAATGACCGGAAAAAGAGTCTTGATAACCATTAGCAGATGATTTATATAAGGGGAATGGTAATAACCAAAATAAATTTGTTTGTTTATAATATATAAAACAAGTTTATACATGCTTACTATTTATACAGTTAGGTCCTTCAAATCCAGGAGCACAAATGCATTCGTATTCATTGACAATATCTTTACAAATTCCGCCATTCATGCATGGATTGCTTGAACATCCATTGATATCTGTTTTATACATATGACAATGTTATCAATTATATTTTGTAAGAATATGCTGAATACATTCCAATTTATGATGGTTTATTTTTGAATACGATATAATGAATTATGTAACAATTACAGCAAAGATCTACGTCATTTTGGATCATTGCTCGCACATCATATAGAATAAGTGCACAACATAAAAACAAAACTAATATCAATTACAATTGACAAGGCAATTTGCATACATATGACTAAGCTGTTAATTTTGATAATTTACATTGTGGACATTTATAAAAAAAACACTCGAAACAAGAAAAATCTACACATTTTGTATCCTAGAGAATAGGAAAAAATAAAAGAGTACTAGCTAAACAGTTGACTCCAAAATATCCATCAACGCAGGCGCAGGTGTACCCATTGACATGGTCCGTGCAGGTACCTCCGTTGTTACATGGTTGGGGCATGCATTCGTCTATATCTAAACAGTACCATATTTAAACATATTTGTAAAATTTAACGAATTAATGTTGAAATATACTTAAATAAAAATCTTGTCAAGAAGTTTAAAAAATTAATTTAAAACGTAAAATAATTTTAAATGTAGACACTCGTACATAAATTCTGTGATAAACATCAAAACCTGCTGAACACTGGCATATATACATCTTAACTCCGTCAATACATATCCCATTATTTTGGCATGAGTGTGACAAACGTTCGTTAATATCCGTAACAGAAATAACGTAACATATTATGAGAATGATAGTATGAAATGTGATATCAATATGGATAACTATGAATTCATGTCATGTCTGTTCTATTAAAAAGATATCAAAGTCTGACTGATATCGACACCTTTTCAACAATTACAAGATATTTATGACTATTTAAGAAGTAGCACACTCTGATCATATCAGATTGTGCAAACTTTCGATTCAACATTTAAAGGTTCAAATTGAGGTTGCAAAAATAAAACATGTGGAATTATTTTCAGGACATGTTTCCTACTATGAAGCTTACTTGTTTCACAGTTATAACCAGTGAAGCCATCAACACAAGAACAACTGTAAGCGTTTAAATGATCGATGCAAGTCCCATCATTTTTACACGGATCTGACTGACATTCGTCTATATCTGTAAATATCAAAAATGAATATAATAGAGCATGTAAATATTTGTAATAATAAACATAGTAGATTTCTAATAGTTTTATATCTCAATTGTTTTGCGTACGAAATTTAAAATTCTGAAATAGTCATATTTAAATAACGAAACCATCCATCAATTCTTTTCTCTTATTTACTTGATTGGCTAAATACTAAACCATATTAATTGTTAGTGTTACCGAGTTCACAATTCTTCCCACCATATCCATCAACGCAAACACATTTATAGCCGTTGGATTCGTCGGTACAATAACCTTCATTCAGGCATGGATTATATACTATAAGAAAATTGATAGATGGATAAGCATACAGATATCGAGAAAAAAATGCGTACATTTTTAAACGTAAGTACACACAAATTATCATGTTTTATAAAATGATTTATACATTTTTTAAATAGTATAATATTAAAAAAAAGACACGAAGTTTCTCTTAAAATGAGAACCAATTCGTCTTTACTATAATAACAAAGATACTTTACACAATATGGAATAACCGCGCAATAAGTAAATTAAAAAGACTGAACGAATCTTGAGTGAGTTTTACCAATGTTTTCACTGTATAAATATTTTGTTCAATATTAGATTTAATTCTTCTCACATATTACATCATTTAAAAATCTGGTAGCTACTTTTAATTTGTAGTCTGAGCATTTGAGTACGGTGTTTTGGACTTGATCTGAGTACAGTTTTGCATATTTTACTCATCTATTTTTCACATTTTTAGCGTTATCATTTGTAGATTTATATTTATTATGTTTTGTTCATAGTAAATAAGTATCGGATGAAGGTGATAAATAAAGAAAATATAAATGGGTGACATGTTTACCATTTCACTAGGATGTTGCAAACATTATGTCATTATGTCATTACTACTGTGGGTCATAAAAGAGTGTAAGCAAACTAAAACTTTTCAAGTAAATATATTTTAATATGTTTTACAATATCTAAATTTGTAACAAAAAAGATACAATGAAAAACTATTTTGATTTTTCTTTAGCAAAGTCCAGGAACCAGGTATCCAAAACGAGCGCCAAGAACATTTTTTCACCAGCCAGACAGAAAAATCTGACTGGCTTGGTTTTGAAATTGCAAACAAACAAGCTTACAAATTAAGTAGCAACACTCTTGTCCATCTCTTATGCAGTGTCAAAGATTGCATTTATATATTCGTAAAATAAGGTTTGTTAAATGCTAGAGATAAAGGTATCTAAAACAGTTGTAATAATATTAAACAGATTTTATTTTTCAAACAACGGAATATACAACTCATTCGGCCCAGTTTTACAACTATTGTCAGTGATGACGCTACATTTCACACACACTCCTTACACCATTAGAAGCAGAATGTAATTATAAAGTTGTAAATTGTTAAATTAATAGGTGCAAATCAATACTTGTGTTCTAATTATTGAAAAATAATAAGTAATAACGACTCAAAAGTACAAACCTGTCCAATCGTACAAATCAACAAAAGGCTGACATGCTAAACATCCAACTGGAGACATCACATTTTGTACTGCACAAAACCCATCGATGAAACAGAATCCAGTCTTAAACGGAAGATTGTATATTGTGTACAATAATTTAGCCAATGAAAACGAAAGTAAATATTACACTGGACAGAAACGGTTGGTCAGACGCTTAGGCAGTGGTGCATTCGCCACAGAAGCAGTGGAAAATACGACTTCCAGTTAACCCCCTCCCCCCATTCTCCCCGTGGATTCGAATCCCGTTTGAGACCTGTATCAAGATAATTATTATTAATCGACACAATAAATAGGATGAAGCACATCGTCAAAATCAAGTTATATATTAATACAATGCTTATAAAAATAAAATAATAATGTAATAACACTAATAAATAACATTATATAATTTTAAACATGTCAGAGAAATCAAAGAATACTGTGAAATCATTTGTATTCGTGGGCATGAAATTTCGTGGTTTTATCAAAACAGGCATTTTCGTGGGTTCTTAAATTCGTGGATTTTCATTTTCTTGTAAAAAAAAATAAGTAATGGAAAGTAATCTTTCACTTAATCACTGCGCTGTTTTACTTACCCCGTGTATATTACACAGCTCTTGTCAATAAATCTAATCCTGGCCTCTGGCAGTAACACAATTACTGCCGATAATTGACTGCAATTAACACCTTTGTGTGACATGATATGCAGCTCCATTATATGCCCCTATAATTCGCCAATGTAAACATCGCATAAATTATACGACATCTGCAAATTTTTAACCAGCCAGTAAAAAAGTTAACACCCCGAATTAGTCCAAAAAACTACACACTACATCACATCGACTGTGTAAATTTATATGCATATAAATTAATACCAGTAAATGGCTCAATACAGTTACATACATGTATGTAAAGACGACGGCTTCTTTTGATATTTTCGGAATAGCAGTCACACAAATACATATTGAAAAAAATATATTTAAATGGATCATATAAACACTAGTCGTTAAAAGTTTTATCGGGGATAATTAATGCACTTGGTTCCCATATTTACTCGATTATGTCACGTATTCTGGCTAACACAATCAAGTAGCCTACAACAAACAAACAAGTCCCCTGATGTTTACATGCGACGAACATTTGTGACAGCAAACTGAAGACATACAATCGATTTTTCTTTCAAGTTTCTTAAATATTGCAAAATTAAACTATTTATGGATTTAATTTGTCACTGACCAGATTATAATATACATTCATACCACAAATATCGGCCGGAAAAGCGCCGACGCATGTTGTGATATATGGAACAGAGACATGGTAAGAAGCGTTTGTTGGGATAAAATTTCGTCGGGTCTTAAATTCGTGGATTGACCTATCCACGAAAACCACGAAAATTCGTGCCCCACGAATAATGATGATTTCACAGTATATGGCAGATAACAGACTTGACTAGGTCTTTATTAAGAGAAATAATTAGATTTTCATTAAACCCCAGTCACACTAGAGCTTCTGATTACTTGCGACAACCGGCGACGTGTAAACCGACGATCATCGGCGATTGTCTGCGACCAAATCCTCTTTGCACAGACAAATTTACTTCCTCGATTATCGTACGACCAGTCATTGACAATCGCACGACAAGTCATCAGCAGACGCACAATTGTCTCCAGATTGTCTCAGATTACTCACGACTACCCGTGACTTGTCATGCACGATTACTTAACACTACTTAAGACTGTCAGTGACTAGTGGCAATTTTTAAAGACTGTCGTAAGATTGTTGCATGACAGTTTTGCGATCAACAAAAACCTGAAAAAGACTGATGGATTGGAGGTATAAATAAGAACTTTACAGTGAAACATTTACATTTATCACAGTAGCGAGAGAGTAAACAGCCCATAATGGCTATGATCGCCGCACCAAGGAGACTGTAGATGATACAACTGCACAGGGACGTCTTGAGGTAATGCATTTTCATGCTGGCTTACAACTTGCTTTTCAGTATCACCCTCAGGGTCAGAGTCGTGTTTTTTCCTTTTCTGGACTTTTCCTTCGCCCTTTGACATTTTGGGTGGCATGTCAGTGTTACTCAAACAGAAGAAAAAGTGAGGTTGAGGAATGAACCTTAAAGTGCCTGCTTTATATAATGTTAGATCACGTGGTCTGTGTCTGATCACAGGAAATCTTTAACTAGTCTCTGACGATCGTACGGCGGTTGCTACTAATCGTAGCGAAGTCGCTAGTTGTCATTTGTTATCGTGGGTGATCAAAAGACAGGTCGCTACTAATCGCACGATGATCTTACAACTTGGAAAATCTACATGCGACTGAGTGACAAGGACATCGGCGGCGACCAGTTGAAGGTTATTAGAAACTTTCGAAGGACAATGGTGCAACAGCCTAACCTTATAACAGTCCTAGCGACCTTTTGATCGCAGAGAGGTGTTTGTGCAAGCTCAAAAAACCTATTTGCGACTGAAATTGGTCGTTGGACCTAAATAAGATAACCTGCGACTGTCGAAGATCACTGGTGATCGTCAACTGCTCTTTAGATGTCGTAAGCTCTAATCTGATTTAAAGAACACTATTTTAGACGAAAATCATTGCGTATGTTCAATGACGACGCATAACAGTAACTGTTGTGATTTAAAATACCATAGTATAGTAAGCGCCGCATGGCGGGCTAGGAATACATCATTGCGGTCCTTTGACTTAAATTATGTACACACGTATTCATTTGATATATCAGATCTGATGTATAAATGACCATGCTTTAAAAGTCATTTTTAATATTTAACTTAAATTCTTGACTCGCGCGTGCACAGACAAACATATACATACTCACGCACACATTTTGCTTATTTCATCTTTATCTAACATTTTAGGAGGTCACATATATCTTCAATAATGATTATCTAGATACAAGTCTCTAACGGGATTAGAATCAACGGGTTGAGAGGGGGAGTGGTTGAACTTGAAGCCATATTTTCCAACTGATTCTGTGGCTTATGGACAGCAGCCCAGCGTTTAAGATAAAACGACTATTTTCATTTGCTAAAATAAGTTGAGGCCTCAAGATATTATCTTTTGGCCACAAGATAATATGTCGTGGCAAAAAGATAATTACTCGTGACCACAAGGTAATAAGTCATGGCCACGAGATAAAAAGTACTGCAAATGTCACCTCTATGCCACCGTAGTTACATATGTCATGATGTTATAATTGTTATTCGATACATAGAGAATAAATATCGCATGGCGCAGAATATTTACATATTGAATCTTTCACATCAGTGAACTAAAATAATAATTTGGTAATGCTAGGTTTATTACTTGTTTTGAGTCTATACATACTTAATCTTTCACATCAGTTATTTTAAACTAAAAGAATAATCGGACAATGCTAGGTATATTGTTTGTTTTCAACGATATGAATAAGTTCAATATGGGAAAGAAACTTATTGTTAGATGCATTTTATCATGTAAACAGAATACTAGTTTTAAATATGGCAAGGATTGTAGCAATATTGAAATCATAAAGAAATAATTTTTGTAATGCTTTGTCTGTCATCTCTTTTGTTACGTGAATCATTAACGTTAAATTTCAGTTCTCAACTTGTGACGTCACAGCTTGACAAAATGTTTCCTACTGTTAGCCAATGTCGCTTCCAATTTTCTAGGTGAAAAGTATTATGCGTATGATACGTATTTATCATGCGTTTTATTAACACTGCGATGGAACAACATACTTAGGATTTCATACGAATGATCGCATTGTCAATTTGATTGAATTGAACCTTGTGCTTTTCCGAAAGTAAATGTGCACTTACAGTTACTTTGATGTTGTTTATAGAAATCTATGGAAATTGGGCATGCAATCTTAACTGTTATTTGGGGTAAATGATTAATAGATTATTGGGTTCCTTTGATTTAAACAGCCTCGCAGACGAAAGTTAATGACATTTTATGTAAAATTAAAGTGATTATACTGGTCAGCATTATGAAATGAATATTATAACCATTAAATGTAAATTTGTATGCCCCAATACACCATACACTATCATATGGTATATTCCAAAAATATTTTCGTTTAGAGCCGCCGATCGAAACGGAATTGAATTAGTTTTGTGATTTTAAAACTAGCGGAAATTACCCGTTGCCTGTAGCTAGTTCAAAGCAAGATATTTCTAATTTTTAAACAAAAACTTGCTGTAAAGACAGAATAGTAACTTGTTAAAAAGTCTTTACTGGGTAGATCTTGATTTTGGTATGGGGGTCTTAAAAAGTTAATCTTTGTTTCGGTTTACCTTTAATCTGAAGGAAGCGTTTTCGAAAGAAGTAAATTCTGCATCTTGACAAGTTGAGTCGAACACGTAAACGCTTTTATCATTTCCGTATGCTTTACCATTATTGCTTATGGCAAAATCGTACTTCGTTACAAATACACCTTTGGTACCAATAATGTTGTCTTGAACACAACACACCCCAGTATAGATATCCTCATATCCACCCGTATGAAACCTTGTTGCAACAAGCTCCCTTTCACCATTGACTGTTATCTGTTTTTAATTATTTAAAGTATTTATTATTTAAAAAATTCAAAGCAGAAAAAGAAGATATCGCTGAATACACGTGTAAATAAATGTAACAATCAATATATCGAGATATTTTGTGTTTCAGAATTTGGGTGCAGATGAAAATATAATAAAACTTATTTTGTAACGTCAGGCCAATCAATATAGATTAATTATATATTTACGCGAACACTTAAGCAGACTCCATTAAGTTTTGTTGACATAATAGGACTGGATATATTCTATTGTAATTTAGCCCCCATTAAATGTAGTTTGGTCAAATAACTTAAAACAGTAATTGTTAAATCCGTTTTTTTAGAATAATTTTTCGACGAAAAGCATTTAGACGCTTTAAGAATTATATATTTAGAAGAATAATATAAAGAAGAATGTATATTTAATTCCATTATGATTATATTTCTTCTCCCCCCCCATTAACTTCCGTTCTAAAAGCCCAAGTTTATTAATGTGAACATTTTAGATTTTACGTTTTATGCATTTGGACCTCAGTGAAGCACTTTCAAGGTTTAAAATTCATGTAGTCGAATTCTTTCTTGATTTTCATAGTCATTTCGTAGATTTCGTGATAAGAATTTTATAACAATATTGAAAAGTTAATCAAGAAGTTAAACTTGAACTTTTGGTTTCATGTGTCTGTTCCTAGGTGGTAAAAAAGCCTAAAAGATAGATTTTATGATTCTTACATATATCTACAGGGACTCTTCAAATATATCTGTGCCTTTTATCTTTATAAGAGATAAAGTGATTGATTCTTTTATCATTTTATTTTTGACCCCCCCCCCCAAAAAAAAAAAAACAAAACAAAAAAAAAACACTTGTTTTGTTGGGAACAAATATGAGACAATGATCTGAAATTGTGTACGCAAGCTTTTGGTACATACCTATATTAAATGGTACTTAAATGAAAAAAAAAATACATTTGTAGTTCTTTAAAGTAAAAACAAAACCAGCAGAGTCAACACCATCAAAAATAGAATTTTTTCATAATATTGTGGTCCTTTCTGTAAAATGTTTTGAATGTCTTTCTTCTGATCTTTACCGGCTTTCAGATTTAAAACAATATTTTTAAATATAAACCGTTATGCATTTGAATGAAAGAATAAGAAAAATAATATCTCTGACCTATCTTGTCTTTATTCTTAAAAAGTGTTCAATAATTAAAATTTCAAAGCAAACAAAAATGTTATATCAATACGTGTACCTTAGAAACATTGCTCTGGCATTTAAATCCTTTAAGAATACTCGAAGATCTGACATGGAAACATAAACATTCGTCACCATCAGACAGATCACATTCTCCTCCACCTTCCACATCGTCTATATTCAAAGGATCTCGTTCATCTATGTCACATTCTGCCCCGTGGAAAAATCCAAAACAATCACACTCACCTGTAAACAATTCCTTAAACTAATTCAAGAATTGAAATTGAAACAAGATTTTTTAAACACAGTGCAGTCTAAATGAAAAACCTTAATTCCAAATATTTTTCAAATAATTGTGTACCGTTTTTGTATTTCATGTATTCAATAATCGCTTTAATATGTGAAAAAATTATTTCTCTGTTTTAAGCTTATACTATCACACTGATATCAAACCTCAGGGGTGATTTCACCATATAGACTTACCTGGATAAAGAACAAGTAATTATTTATTTCTTCTTAAGTGGCCGACAAGTTATCCCATGGATGGCAATTTCTCTTATTTATATTTTTGGAAAAATGACAGTTAACATACATACTTGGCAAGATTTTACTTTATTTTTATCTGAATTTAGTTTGTTTTACTAAGTTAAGAAAGAAATATAATGAAATTCGTGTGTAACAAAATAAATAATGTCACGTACTTGTGTCTGTGCAGTTACCGTTGTTGCTACAGTTTCCTGGGCATGTTTGTTTATAAAAAGTAACAACCTTTTCAGAGTTATTGATAACGTATGATGGTTCACGTTCTATTATGTTCTTTACAATATTATTAAGCGAATCTACATGCGCTGCAGCCCATGACGTATCGTTTGCAGCCTGAAACAATAAAAGTTTCAAATAATAATAACCCTTATATAGGCAAGCCTGTGTCATACTTCTATAAAAGTTATAAATCTAAAAAATCATATATGTTTAATATGTACTAATTTAGTGTGAGATTTCCTTTTACATTTATAGATTTATATATTTGTTTCTCTAAGATCTGATTTAAAATCAAATTTATATATAATGCTCCATAAGTATTTGCTACCAACCTATATTTTTCTGAATATATATTTTTCTAAATATACATTTTTCTAAATATAACATTGTATTTAATACATAAGGTAAAATATTTTCATTTCATTAAACGGACAGCGAAAATACAAACAACACAAAGTTAATTGTCATGGACTCATGATTATTGAAATAAAATATAATAACATTCTAAATAATATAAAATGGTAAACACATTGACTTTTTATATTTCGGTAGGTGCCATATGAAGTATGCATATTTTGTATGAATATTAAGACTGACATGAATTCAGTTGATCTAAAGGGTTCTTAACAGAAAATCCCAAAGACAAGTCATTTTGTTATCTGATGTATTAAATATAAAATACAGCTTATAATGTTGACATTATAACATTGAACATTGACTTTCATGAAAACATTTTTAAATATATTATTAAGTTTTCAAAATTAATTAACATTGGAATAAAAGCATTCACTTACCACCACATCATTTGCACATTGTTTTATGAGTTCGTTCGGATCTTCATTGCCGCTGACTTCCGAATAGTTTCGTACCGCTAAACTTCCTAATATTTTGTCTTTACACAAAGTTGTAGCTGCTGTTTCCGATATAATGTTACTGCCGATGTCCTGGCGCTAACCAAAACACCAAGAATCACAATAATATATACATTGCATGAACATAAAACTTTCTTAAAAATTTAACCAATTATCAATTTAATGCCCAAATCTAGTAATTCATTTTAAGTAACGCATTATTATTAAAAGTATTGCAATCAATTTTAAGATCACTGTTTATTCTGAAGTTTATGCAAATTAATAGATACATCAACAAATAAAACAGAAAATAAATATATAAATAAGTTAACAAATGAATAAATTATTTAATTAATTGATTTATAAAAAAAACGTTCCGAAAATCATAGAATCTTTCAATCGACTATATCTCCCATCCGGTAGTCAGACTATTCTCTCCCTTACCAGTTCCTTCCCTGACGGTTCTCTCCCTACTTTTGGGGAGAACCGTCTGCATATTTGGAAATAAGCAGTCAGTTTCTCCCCATTTTTATTTTTATCAGTACATTATTATTGAATCATTTAAATGTTAAATAAATGGGTAAGGTTATTGTTAACTAATTGATATAAATTGGAAAACAAATTATTGTAGTATTTAGATGTTTAATAAATGGGTAAGTTTATTATCAATTGATATAAATTAGAAACACTTTTTTTTTAGCATATTAGTTAATAATTCTGATTTTTTTTATTAGATCTATATTTTTTAATATGTTAAGTCGTTGAAAATAAGGAATGAATAATTTACTTGATAAGGATAATCATTAGATATTAATTATTGTGTTGTTGTTGTTTGAATAAATAAGGATAAAATTTATAAGAAAAAAATATTAATGAATTCTAATTGCTAAATTATATACTTCTGTATAATGAAGAAAGGGGTTCAATATACATGTGAGTTCAGTTTTCAAATAAGCAGACAGTTCCTCCCCATTTTTATTTTGATAAATACATTTTTTATTGAACTATTAGGATATTACAAAAATGGATAAGATTGTTAATAATTGTTATCAATAGATATTTTATTCAAGTGTTTAGATGTTTAGTAAATTGGTAAGTTTATTATTAATTGATAGAAATTAGAGAGAAAAATATTAAAGTAGTTTTAGAGATTTTTTATTTTATTGAAGTATTTAGACATATTTAATTAATGGGTACTGTATTTTAGTTTATTATCAATTGGTATAAATCAGATTTTGTAGCATATAGACCTATCTAATGTATACTTTTTAATGTGTTTAGTCATTGAAAATAATTAATGAATAATTTACTTGATTGGGATAATCATTAGATATTATATTTTATTTATTGTGTTGTTGTTTAATCATTTATCTTTTATTATTATTTTTTGTTTGGAATAAATAAGAATAAAATTAATATGAAAAATGATTGATGAATTTTAATTGCTAAATTTCATACTTTTGTATAAAGAAGAAAGTGGTTAAATACACATAATGTGTTAAGTTTGCTGTCAGAGATAATTGAGGTGTTTATTAATTCATTACTCAAGGTGATAAGATTATAATAGCTACGAAAAGGTACTGATGAATAAGTGTTTTTATTAGTTATTTGGTATTACATGTGTATATTGTTTAATAATAATGATAATGCTCTTTAACCAATTTTGTATAAAAATAAATATGAAATGTGATTGCATACCAGTTGTTGCTTATTTATTTTCTAGAACATACTTTATTCACTATTTAACAAACTAATGAATATCACTAGATCTCAACATTATTTCAGATGTTTATCAGTTTATCAACTACTGTCCAATAATCTTAATCTTTCACAATTAAACATAAAACATAAAATGCATTTAATATCAAACACATTCTTTCAATAAACTTCATTTAGAAATATTATTAGATTAAGTCAAAAGTAATATGGTCACTTATAAAAAATGGGGGGGTGGGGACTGTCTGCATATTACAAATTTGGGAGAGAATCGTCAGGGGCAGGAACTGGTAAGGCAGAGAATATTATGTCATTATTCCCATCCCACGCACAATTTCAATTAAGTAATCCTAAAAACATGTTTTTCTGAAACACTTAGAAAGTTTTATCCTTTATCCCACTTTATTATTGAAAATCTTTACCATGGAAGTAAAAAACTAGTTAGTTGTTAGTCTAAGATATTTTCATGAATTAAGATTAAAGTGGGATTGATTACTGTGAAGAAAATAACTTGATACACAAATTGGTTTTCGTGAAGACGAATAAAATTATCAGGGTCAGCAAATGTTTGGTACAATGTGGCATCTTTGATTTAAACGTATTCATTAAAAAGTGAAATTGTATGGGAGAATTGGTAAACCTTATTTTTTGATTCTTCAATATTGGTTAAAAATGCATTCAATAATGTTTTAATAATTATCATTATCATTTGAAAAAAGTAGAACTTTAACAAAAACTGGTGACCACTGAGAAATATCCCTCCATAAAAACTGATTTGTCTCATGAACATTTTGGTCAAAGAGTAATTGACATCTGTGATTCAGACACTTCAAGGTACATACTGTCATTATAAAATTATTAAAAGGCACGGCTAACATTTTTTCATGAATACAAAAATTTTGGTTAGTTCTTTACCCTTTCACTCATTTAAACATCAACAGATTTTTACGATCCAATTTTATTTTCAATTGAGAAATGAATACGCAAAAATTCTCAATAAATCTGTTAACATTATAACTAATGAAATTGAAAACTTAGATACATTTATCAATAGATATTTGGCCTCCAGATTTAAAAGTTCACTATAATCAATCATAATTGTCACGGCTGTTTGAACCCCCCCCCCACCCCTTTTGAGGCCCCAAACAGTGAAAAATTATCCCATTTAAGCCCTAAACACTGTTTGGGAATTGTTGTTAAAAAGTGATCACTTTTTCGGCGCTGCCCCTATTTAAAAGGTACATCAGGAGGTTTATCAATAAAAACGGCCATTTTTCACAATATGCTCATGAGGGAAAGGGTTAAATGATTTAAAAATTAAATCTAAATTAAAGATTCATGTTTCTTTGTTATTGCAAAGTCAGAGACTGTAATATAAAGCTTAAAGGTTAATTTATATAAAAATACAGGGCCTCTTCTGCAATATTTATTAAAGACAAGAAAAAGCAATATGAATAACTTTGCGCATGATTCGATTTTAATTATTTCTTTTTATCCGGGAATATTACAAGAAATGTGTGCAAGAGCTTACTTCTTAAAAACATATTAGATGATTAATATCTTAAAGAAATGTATTTTTACACTAGAACCTAAGTGCCAAAATTGTCTTTTCCTTCGAATGACACTGTAAGTATTTATACATATTATAATAATCATGTGAATTCAAAATTTAGTCTAATTTAGAATTTCGATTTCTTTTGCCTCTCCCTTGGGTTTCAGAAATAAGACGTTATGAACACGTGTCATAAAACAGTCGTACGACGTTGTCGTAGACGTACGACACGGACTATAAAATGTCATAGACTACGACATGTTGATAGAACGACCCCAAAAACCAAATCAGTTAAATGTAAAATTGTCATGAATTTAATTTAGATTAGTTTTTATCAGACAACTGAAGATTGAAAAAAATTATTTATGTACCCTGGAAGTTATGGCAGGCAGTGTACAAGAAAAATCTTTGTAATTTGGACAACCGTAGTAAACAAACAAATAAATAAATAAATTCATATTTAATAAATTAAATTTAAGTATTGGTGAAATAACAAATTAAATAATATTCACATCTAGACTAATAAACAAACGAAAGAAAGAATGAGCAAGAAAATAAGAATAAGAATAAGAAATGTCGAACAACATATATGCCTCTATCCAACCCTTATCTCATTATATTGGTAATTTTGTTACAGGAACATGCCTTAAATTGGTACATGGCAGTGTTCAACCAACTTTTACATTTGTAAGACTTGCCAATCATTCATTAGTAATTGATCGGAAACCACTTTGTTATTTGAGGTTACTGTGATCTTGACCTTTGACCAAGTGACCTTAATATCATTAAAGATCATCTTCATTTAAAGTCGCTGTGACCTTGACCTTTGAGCTTAAGACCCAAAAATCGATAGGGGTCGTTAACTAATTTTAACCAATCATTATTTGAAATATAAAAACTAAATTTTCAAGATAATGAGCGGACAACATTCTGACAATTCAGGCCCCTGTGACCTTTACCTTCGACCTGGTGACCCCAAAATAAATAGGGGTCATCTACTAGTTACTATCAATCTGTATATGAAATATGGAGACTTTTGATAAATAAGATAAGCAGGGGAAACCATGTGGCCTACCGACAGACAAAAAGACAGTCAGACCAACCGACGGACCGATATAAGCAAAACAATATACCCCCTCTTCTTCAAGGGGGGCGGGGGGCATAAAAACATTCTTATTGCAAAAGTATTTTATTCTTTCTTTACCTTATTTTGATGTTACTGATTTCATGACATTTTAGAATATAGCTTAATAAGAAATATAAAAATTAAAGTAAAAGGCAGCACAATTACCAAATAAAAATTACCTTGAACCTCGTTTTTTCTTTAAGCGAATCTGTTGGTGTCATTAACCGTAATAATCTTTCTAATTCTCTATCATCTTTATAGTGTCCATCAGCACCTCTTTTTCTTCTGCTTGGAACATTACATTTAGTGTTAGTTATTGATTTGCTCATTGTGCAATTCAAATATTGGGTCGAATAGCATGCTGCTTCCGCTACCCGAATTGCACTTGCGCACACACAAAACATACCATTCAGATCATTCCAGCTTTTTAATTCTCGTTCACCAGTTAGAAATAAGTTGAGTGGTTTTGTTTCTTCAGAAGTTAAACTAGAAAACAAAATACATTTAAACAAATGTGAACTAACTGCAGATAGACAAAGGTTAAGTAATTTTAAGATAATAAATTGCATAATTGTGTTGTAATGAAATTTTGTTTAAATATATCTTACATTTAAACATTGGGATTTATTTCAAATAAAAACAATTATTTATTTATAAATCTAATTTTTTGTGTATTTCAAAGTTTGCATAACAAGTATATGACATCATTATATTTAGAAATATACTTGTTATCATTTAATAAATACCTCCAGCTTTCTGTAAAGTCTGCATAATTATTCATATAGTTTATGTAATTTTGTTCTGATACAGTTCCGTCTTTGTGACGAAAATCGTTTGTTGTATTATTATCGAACTGTCCACACAATCCCTCAATGTTATACAAGTCTTTAGGTGCCATCGTTATGACAATGTTCATTTGGCCTTTATCAAATATTGTTATAGTTATTTTAGTACCAATCGGTGTGAACACCTAAAATTGTAAACATACATCAATTCAAACATTGTAATTAAACTAAATATATCACGAAAAGGAAATTATTAGTATACTAGTAAATCGAAATCAATAAAGAACAATATGACTTAAGAACACCCTAAACCACAAAATCGAAAATACTGCAGTCTCAAGTTAAGCCTGTTCATGGATTGTACGTCTGCTAGCACCGACTTAGACACTTCTTAGTTTTAAAATAGTTAAACAGTAACTTAATCTGTTCTATACGTACATTTCTTCTGAGCAGTAGATCTAGATGCTGTGTTACATAATCATTAATAGAAATACGAAGTTGTTCGGAAAGTATGCATCATTAGTTAAACAAATGCTCAATTATGACAGGAAGTTACATAAATAACACATTATCATATTTCACTTGTACATTCAGTTGAAAATATGCTAAAACTAATTGTTTTAATGTAAGTCACAAACGAGTATCCGTGTAACCTAAACCTGGATTACTTCAATATAAAAACAAGAAAAGCATTGATGCAAAGCACCAAAGGCTACACAAACATATATTTGATCAAGACTTGCACAAAAATACTAAACAGAAAAAATGGACTTTAAGTCAGTACCGTTACATATGACCTGGAGGCTAGGACCATGTTTAAGAAAAAAGACTCTGTCTTGCTAAGATACAAGGACAATAGTCAATTAACCAATCACTAATAAGTTTCATGCCATACGAGAGAATTTATTCAGATTTATTTCTACAGATACAAGGATACCTGAGCATATAATAAAAGCTCATAGCTTTTGATTTCAGACCCGTCATTGACATATAAGAAATAAAAGAGGACCTAGAATAGACCTCTGTAAAACACCACAGGAACTGAGAGCAGTAGTAGAATGAGTACCAGCCACATCCACCAGCTGCTGTCTATGGAAGAGACAATAATTGTTTTATTTACGATTGTCATTACCTATGCTGGAAGCATGAAGTTTTATGTGCAGTATTGTGTGTTCAACTTATCAAATGCCTTTTGTAGATCTACAAGTATCAGGCCTACAATATTGCCTTTATCCATTTCAAATCTATTTTTCTATTAAACTAATCAAACATGTGTCTGTTGAAAAAACACTTCTTAAACCTGACTGAAACTGCCTGACCACGACTCGAACTCATGATCGTCAGAATACCGTATCTTAGATCTACCAACTGAGCTATCATGCCGCCTACAAATTATCTCTGAAAAAGTGAACAGCTCTAAACTGTAACGTATTTCCCAGCTTTACTGATATTTGTCCTAGAATGTTTATAGAGCAATGTGAATTAAACTCTGGCTTCAATGCAGTCACAGGATGAGAATAACATGCAGCCTGACCAGAACTCGAACCCGTGACCCACAGAATAATGTGCCGAGGTTCTAGCTACCTGGCCATGAGCAGTTCTAAACCATGACCGATACTTATACATATTTTAATAAACAGGTAGATTAATCTAGATAAATAGAAATAAGTAAAAATTACATACTCATTTTTATGTCGCCTCTACGGAGTAGTGGCGACATATAGGGATCACTTCTCCGTCGTCTGTCTGTCCGTCTGTCTGTCTGTCCGTCTGTCCGTCCGTCACAAAACTTGTCCGGACTACTCCTCATAAACTACTGGTGCAATTTCATCCAAACTTTATAGGAATGATCAGTACCAAGTCTAGTTGTGCATATTGTCAGCATTTTCCGGTTCAATGATTTTTGTTTGAGTTATGGCCCTTTAATAATTTTTATTTTTAAAGTTTGTCCGGACTTCTTCTCTCATACCACTAATGCAATTTCAATGAAACTTTACATGATTGATCTGTAGCTCAAGTCCTTGGGCATATTGCACGGGTTTTCCGGTTGAATAATTTTTGGCCGAGTTATGGCCCTTTGATAAAAAGGTGTTTTTTCTGTGTGTTGCCAGATACGCAAAAGCTTGTCCGGACTACTCCTCATAAACTACTGGTGCAATTTTATCCAAACTTTACAGGAATAATCAGTACAAAGTCTAGTTGTGCACTGTCCGTCTGTCACAAAATTTGTCCCAACATGAAATTGGCCATCATAAGGCGACACATGTGATTACTGATCGCTCTTGTCTTTATTACAATTAAAATTTATATTCGTATATTTTTATAATTATCTTAACTAAAAAGGGCTGAGATAGTTATTGGTCATTTAATAGTGCCATTATTTATATCAGGTCAATTTAAAGTGTACAGATAAAAACTAACCTTTTTTCTAGATAAATTATTATGGCGGCTTTTTTGTACCATGCTTTATTTTTGAATCAGGTGGCACCGAGCAAAACCATGAAAATACAAAGGAACCACTTTGTGGTATTTTCATATTTTCGTCTGGCGCCCGGGAACATTTTTGTACTTTGTCAGTTTGTCGGTTTTCGTGTGGCACAAATCAGTCACCATAAAATTTAGTGCACAAATCTATTCAAGTGCAAGCAAATATCTATGAAAAGTCTGTAGTTGGGTTCGGCTCTGGCTGAGACCTGGAGGTTGAGACCGGTATCCTTTCATTAAAAAAATAAGACAGGTGCTGACCCTTTCAAACTATGCATATGTTAGAAAATATTAGAGTATGATATTTTGAGCCTTAAAAGTTATATTGCTTGATCCAAGTTTAAGGTCATTTTCCTCCCTAACAGGTAATAATGTCTTAAATGTAACTATGTTAATTCAGAAATATTATACAGTCTCATCATATCTATAGATATAAATGCACGTAACATTAATAATTCCCAGTATCTATTTCATAGATATGAAATCCTATTAACATTGGTACTTGGATCGAATTCGAAAGTAGAAATAAACTATAATATATAGTATAAAAGTGAAAAACAATCAAAAAGTCTATATCATATAAAGATTGAGTTGTGTCTAAGCATCAAATGCATATTTGCATTTGTTAGACCAACAAATACTTTTAAGACTTTTTTATAACAATTAACAGTATATAATAAAGTGTTTGAAATTGATAACTTAAGGATGTTTTCCTTTTTATGTTTCAATATAACAGGGACATAAGCAACGATATGCATAGCTTTAATGTACAATAATCGTAATATGGATAAAATCAATAAGATAATCGTCCGCAACAGTCCCATTTCCAATCTTTACACTCATTTGCTAGTGACTCGTTCTTCTTGAAAGAAAATTTCAATAAATAAATTATTTACAAATATAAACATGACCTCTCTTGGACCTCACAGACCATATTAAACTGCTGACATAACAGTATAAATAACAAAAAAAAAACTATGGATGATAAATTAAAATAAAAAAAACAATGAAGACATACTTTATCTAAGATAAATAACAAAAACGACAATACCAGTATATTCAAAAATTGACATCAATGTAGATCACCACGATATTCGGAGTCTGCCTTTTAGTATTATAATAAAGCTAAGGATAAGATGTCAAAATGTGCCCGCCATTTCATACAGATAAATATCACAATGCACATGGCTTTAAATAAATAATGTAATACAAATACAACAACATATTTGTTGACTTGATTGTAAAAATCAAAATAAAACTAATTAGCACAACATGATATAAACTGTCTACCATGTGCCACATAAAAAGCATTCCATATAAGACGGTGCCTTTCACCGGCGTCGCCAATAACGTCCGTCAAATAAGACCAACTTAAAACGGCTGTCGCATTTTCTCCACGTTATCACGAACATGATCCATACCATTCGTGTGTTATAAGTACACTTTATGTAGGTAAATGTACATTTTCTTGTAAAAGGAGCATATCATGCGTTCTGGTTGTTGTGACAATAAAAAAGCTCTGAAGTCGATAATTACTAGGGCAGATCTAAATGGTTTGTGATTTAAACCCACAAAAGCAACCAGACTTATTTTATTTCTAATTGTTTTGAATTGACTTAGTGTTTTGGCGCTTAATCTTAGGAATTTATTGAGTAAAAAGCAGAATTTAACTTTTCTTAGCAACTCTAACTGAAGCCATTTAATTAAACAGACAATTGAATGCCGTGAAATAAAATGATTTTGTATCAAACCTGTAATAATTGTTTGATTTTCTTCCAGAAATTCTTCTTGAGAAAAAAGGGAGGTCCTTTCTCATGAAATTTACAATATTGTTTGAATATTACAGGTGACATCGCCAAATAATACAAACCTACTAAACGACCAGGTAAAGACTCGCCCCGAATTATTTTGTAAATTAAGACAGACTTTTCAGCCCTGGTAAGTCTCGCCTCTTTTAGATACTACTTTAGGTCATTCACTTATTCGGTTAAAAATAAGACAGAACACTTACATCGTACTTGTTATCGTCCATCCTTACTACTTGTAAAATTCCACCATCTCCGCATTTGGTAAAGCCAAGATAGTTAATACTTCCACATTTATTTATCATGAAAACATCTTTACCAGCTCGTATCGCAACACCGCAAGCGCATGTTGCCCATCCGCAGGTTTTAGTTTGTTCTTGAACCTGACATTACAACAGTACAACTTCAAAATCTAAATGGTTTTATCACATTTATGACAATTTTAGTGTATAATTCAAATTCGTATACTTCTTCTCATAAATATGTTAAATAATTCAGTATCTTTATGCGAAGCTATCAACAAGATTCAGAAAAGTGTCGTTCCTTAATATGATCACTACAATGATATCTGATATCTTACATCTTTTCTTTGATATCGTAGACAATGAAAAATGACTGATAGGACACACCTCGATTCCATATTTCGTGTTATTATACATCATGAATACACCCGGAAAAGGCCGGTTATTCTTTAGATTCTGGAAGAAGTATCTGTGAAATTAGAAAAATCACTGTTATGTATGTGTTAACTCTGATAACTTGAAATACGTGCTTTTACTTAAATTGCAAAACAAATTATATGTTAAAGGAAACAGAAATAATAACCAGTTACAAACTTTAAACCAATAACAAAATTTATTTTCAAAAACAAATTCAAAATTAATCATAAAATTATTACTGTCTATAAAATGTTTATAATACCTGCAAATTTGAATAATAAAGAACAATCATACATAAACCGCAGAGAAATGTTTTGTCCTGGAACATTTGATTTTATTTACATGAAAAATCTATTTTTATTCTAAGTTTAGTAATGGTAGGTTGTCAAATATACAACAAAACTTAAAATGGACAAATAAAATTAAAACATAATCTTTTCTTAATTAATCTCAATGGGCATCAGTGGGAATACCTGCAAAGTTACCGTGTACCCATTCATCACATCTATCACAACATATCTCGTCTGGTAAGTCGTCAAAATGTTCAAAACAAATTGAACAAGCACTTAAATTTTCTTCCTCTGTGTAATCGTTTTTTTTTACTTCTTTACTTTACCTTTATCAATACATTTTTACCCTTTCCCCTATCCCTTTGCCCTTCCCTTAACCCTTCTCTTCACTATATGTACTTTTTGATACCCTTTCTTCTGGTTCATTAACAACTTCATCTCTGTGAGATTAAACCAGAGTAAAATATTTTCATTGCAAACAAAAACATTAGGTGTAAAAACTGTCAGAAAAATAGCCGGTATTATCTAAAACACCTGATTCAAGCTTAAATGGGACACAACTTTAAGCATATGAATCATCAGATTTAATTTCATCAAGCGATATTCTTTTGGTTGCCTTTTTTCTATTTTTCCGTAACTTTTTTTCTGTGAGCCTTCCCTTTGTCATATCGAACATGTAACGAAAGGTGTGTCCTAGAAAGAAAGGCAGAAACATTGACATATTTGGTGACAATCTTGAAAAAATGGGTGTATTATAATGAATGTTACCTTTTTCCTTTTCAAAAGTTTCAGAAAAAGTATCTATTTTACAGTAACAGCTTATACTTCAAAAAGGATAGCTTTCTTTCCCATAAAAAAGTTTTGTAGAAGGAAACTTAAAGAGTTGCCAAACAATTGATCTATTCCATTAAAATGAATAAAAGTCTTTTACAAGATAACGCATACTAATCACGTTTTAAGTATATATTTACATTTAACAGAAATTTGTTAACTGTTTTGATTCTGCTGTTTCTGTCATGTGATATCATGTTCAGTTTAAGAAAACGGGAAGTAAGCCAAATATTAAATGACCGAAAAATCTTTAAAATGTGTTCAATAAATTAGATAAATACAGAATCCCTAAAGAAAGCCCAACACGACAAAATTGAAAATGTTGCAGGCTCGGTTTTATGTTCAAAAGCTTTAATTATTTTTCAATGGGTACCTTCACATTCACAAGAAATGTCATTAAAAATTCTTAAGGTTCGAGATTATCTAGTAGGGCTGCAGGTTTTGTTCTGATAAGGATTTTGCACGCCTTCACTATCCCTCATGTACAGACTCAATCAAACCGAGTCTGCAGTTCTATTGTAATTTTGTTGTGATTAGTGCTTCCGAGGGATCACTTTGTTTCCAGATTGATAGGACTTCATCAAAAGGTAAAACATCTTCAATCTTCATAATAATAAAAAAATTAACACAAGGGATCTTCATCATCATCATCATTATGATGATTATCATCACCATCATTATAATTCATTTCTGCATTCCATAATATTGTCAAAACATTTCAAAAGGAGTATAAACACACGACGCCAGTGTTAGTGAGAATGCGTTTATTAACGGGAAACGTGAAACGTCAAACGTGGAACGTGAAACGTCAAACGTGGAACGTTTCACATTTCCCGTTAATAAACGCATTCTCACTAACACTGGCGTCGTGTGTTTATAATTCTCAACTATTGCGGCGTTTTAAATGTATCGTCGTGATGCTTATAAACTGTATGAACGTGTTTAAATTTGTTATGATCATTGCATTTCCGCCCAGATAAAATATGACGTAACGCGGCGTCTTAAGCCGCGCCAAACGTTAACGTTAAATTTGGTAACAAAAAATATCACTAAATAAGAAAACGATATTATGTGAATAAAATAGATGTAAGAAAGAGAAAAAATGTAACTATGTAACACAATATATAATGTTAATCTTAATAAATTCAAAGAAGAATTTAATACTCCCCTCCATGAAATAATTACTATTTCGTAACAATAAATAATTTATAAACAAACATACAAATACACTTTTGTTAATGATATTGTATGAATTACTATAATTTCAATAAATCAACTAACAAATTTATTTTAGGCAAAGTATCACTTATTGATATAAACTTAATTACAATTATTTTTTCTGCTTCTGTCATCAGTGTAATAAGCTTCTCATCATTCAACAATTGTTCAGTAGAAAGTGCCTTCAGTATTGCACGTGCTGATCTAATAAGACGCTCCCAAGCGCCACCACGGTGGCTTGCGTATGGTGGATTAAATGACCATTCAATTTCTCTTTGGGTCATATAACGACTTATATTCACAAGATTCCATTCTCTTATAGATGTGCGCATTTCTCTCTCGCCTCCAACTAAATTTGTACCATTGTCACTATAAACATTCTCCGGTTTTCCTCGTCTATTTGCGAATCGCTGAAAGGCGCTTAAAAAGGAATCTGTAGTCAAACTATTAGCAACTTCAAAATGAACAGCTCTTGATGTTAGACATGAAAAGATAACTCCGTACCTTTTTACAATACTACGGCCTTGCTTGACGTTCAATGGACCAAAATAATCTATTCCTACAAAGGAAAACGGAGGCTTATCAGGTGTAATTTGCTGTTCCAATAGTGGCGCCATCTGTTGATAAAGAAGTGGGCTATTACGCTTCCGACATACTAGACACTGCCTTATGAAGCTCTTTACTGAGCTAGTTCCTCGTAGTATCCAATATTTTTCTCTCAGAGCCGCAAGCACTTGTTGCACTCCTGTATGTCCATTTAACTTGTGATAATGTTCAATTACAAGCTTAGTAATATGATGTTTATTCGGAAGAATAATTAGACAGTTCTCTTTTCTTGCTAGTAACTGTCTTCCCCCAACACGAATTAACCCGCCTTCTAATAATGGGTTAAGAGACACAATTTTGCTGTCGTTCTTCACTGTTTTTCCTTCGTTTATTAACGGGAAACGTGAAACGTCAAACGTGGAACGTGGAACGTTAATAAACGCATTCTCACTAACACTGGCGTCGTGTGTTTATAATTCTCAACTATTGCGGCGTTTTAAATGTATCGTCGTGATGCTTATAAACTGTATGAACGTGTTTAAATTTGTTATGATCATTGCATTTCCGCCCAGATAAAATATGACGTAACGCGGCGTCTTAAGCCGCGCCAAACGTTAACGTTAAATTTGGTAACAAAAAATATCACTAAATAAGAAAACGATATTATGTGAATAAAATAGATGTAAGAAAGAGAAAAAATGTAACTATGTAACACAATATATAATGTTAATCTTAATAAATTCAAAGAAGAATTTAATAAGGAGCAAATGATTTAGTTTCCTTTATTTTTGAAATAAGTTTATTTTTTACAACAGGTACTGTCATCCGTAATAGAATTAGCGACATAATTATAAAATTTCTTCACTGGACTGGGGTGTTCTTTTATCAAGGATAACCTAAACGATTTAATTGCATTTTCCATTTGATCTTAAGCACACCCTAATACAAAACCTACCCGTCCAGGAAATTTTGTATCACAACAATCTATAACCATCGTCTGTAATGTCATTCCTTGAGATGTTTGTATTGTTTTACCAAAGACAAAATAAGTGGAAACTGCAGTCGTTTTGAAAGGGTGCATCTTGATACTGGGCTTATATTTTGTACAATTGGCGGGTTAAGTTTATTTGTATTTCAAATTTTGAAATATAAACCGCAATGAGGTCATCAGACATTTGCTTTATTGTGCCTCGAGTTCTATTCTAAAGTTTCACTAAAATTGACAATGGTTGAAATTTGTTGAAAAAAATACATCACATTCATCTGTAGAGCGGTACAGTTTAAACTTCACCACGAAAAGACTTTAATCTTATCATGGTTGAACAGTTTGCCTTTTAAGTTATTTGCAAATAAATGAAGAGAATCTTGGTTTAGAGCAATACCTCTATCTAAAGTTTTAATCAGTTCCAATTACTGTGTTGAAGATGTCCCTGTCTCAATTTTATGAAACACGAGTCACTTTGTCTAAAAAAAAGCCTACAATACAATGAGGTTAAAACATTAAGAAATATTTGTTTCGACACATGTTCCCCATTTGCACCATATTATTTATTTGTAACAGAAGAGAGTTGATAAAAATCACCAGACAGAATGACTTGAATACCACCAAAAGATCTGTTCTCTACGTTGGTGCACCTACAAATAAAATCTGCAGTTTCAAGCTTTTTAAAAATTTTAAAACATCACATTATCATTTTTACTTTTTTCGGGGTCAGCAATATTTTAACAGCAGGTGTCAAGTGCTATGTGGCAGCTGTAAAAAAGTGCCCCGTACTTCACTTCAGTGTTGTTATATTTTTCTGGTCCTTCGGGATCATTGATGCCAGCACTATTTAGTGTTGAGAATTGAGTATCGCTCAAGCCGGTGCTAGAGGGCGTGAGGGATGTTGCTAGTATTCATTATCCCTCATGTACAGACTCAATCAAACCGAGTCTGCAATGTTCTTGTAATTTTGTTGTGATTAATGCTTCCGAGGGATCACTTTGTTTCCAGATATTTTTTAATTTATCATGGTTTAACATTTTGGCTTTTAAGTTATTTGCAAATAAATTAAGTGTATCTTGGTTTAGAGCAATACCTCTATCTAAAGTTTTAATTCATTCCAATTACTGTGTTGAAGATGTCCCTGTCTTAATTTTATGAAACACGAGTCATTTTGTCTAAAAA